TATATATATATATATATATATATATATATATATATATATATATAGGATATATGTATACGGAATAAATTCCAATAACCAACAAATACTATTCTTAAAAGAAAGAGTAGAGCAAATATAATCATTTATTCGCTAAAATTTAACATAAAAATGTTATAAAATCACTACAAAAATAGCCATTTTGTTTCAACACTTCTGGGGTCTTCCCAAGTGATAGTGTTGGATGTAGAATAAAGAGTTTTAAAAGCTTTTAGAACTCTTTATCCTACATTCAACACCATCACTTGAGAAGACATCAAATGTGTTGAAACAAAATGGCTATTTTTGTAGTGATTTTATAACATTTTTATGTTATAATTTTCGAATAAATGATTATATATATATATATATATATATATATATATATATATATATATATAGTTATGATTAACGTTTTTTTTTCCCCAAACAGTGAAATTAATTTCCACCGGCCTAGAGAATTGCTTACATAAAATATGCCTCCCGCCAGTAACCGAACCTGTATTCGTTTTTTCCATCAGGAAACCTTTCGTTTATTAGAAGTATGCGCCTACCATTTAGGCCAGGTAATACATTGGTAAGGCATAGTTCAATTGCCTACTTATGTAGTATGCCCATTTCTCGCTGAGACGTTTCAGAGACAATATCTGCTAGCCTTATTTTTGTACCCAAAACATAAACAAAATAATTTTTATAGGGGTTGTTTTAAAAATCCGACAATAGTTCTTATTACTATAAAAGTTACTTTTTTGCATGAGTTTAAGTTGACATCCCTATTATTTTTCACCCTCTCAACTTGAGAAGTCATTACTATAGAAAAAAAGTGCCTCCTAATTTTCTTTTGCTCATTTATTTCTTACAGGTTTTATGTCTTTATTGGTGACGACATTTATACAAGACCTGATCAGAAAGTGTCGGAACTGATTCTATAGAAAGAAAGCAATAACAAATATCAATTCAGCATTTAATCTTCTTCAAAATAGTTCCCTTCTGAAGCCACATGCTTTATCCAGCGTCGTTTCAATCGATGGAAGCATTGCTGACACTTTTGGGGGATAACGAATAGCTGCCTTGTCGCTGTCTTCTCTTAGATTTTTTTTAGACGTCTTGTAATCTTGTTCTTTTTCAAATGTGATTTGATTGTTGGAAAGAAGAAAAAGGTACAAGGGGCGAGATCTAGAGAACATGGTGATTGTCGAACATAGAGAATTCTCTGCTTGGCCGAAAACTGCTGCAAAGCCACGGTCACTGATAGAACGTATGTAGTGTTATGAGACGACCACACTCTACACACTTTCCTTCCAAGGACTGCTGTAAACAACGGGTGTGAACAAGAACGCTATAACTTAGTTCAAAGTCAGTCTGTGCTAAGCGGCTTTATTCCGCGTATTTTAGCTCCGTTACAGTAGCAATAGTCCCGTTACTTTTTGATCAGAACTCGTAAAGGCATGTGTGAGTTTTAGTATAGTAGAACAGTTTTTGCTAATAATAATTGCGCAATTTAGGTATATGGGTACAGTTAGTACCTTAGGGAACTGAACAGCCCTGAATTGCACCGTACATTTGCCTTTTCAAATAAATTAGCAAAGTTTCGTTATTCTATCTCCCACATCATCACTTACTTTCCCTCAGAGGAAAAGACAATATAATGTTCTTGAAACGTTTACTATTTTTACAATTACGGCTTGAACACTTCACTTGGTTTGGAATCGTAAACAAGTAATTTTTAAATAGTTTTTTTTTCTTTATATACAACATTGTTTTTATTAGTATAATCGTTATTTTTGTGTGTTTACACGTGTTTCAGTTAGTAAGGTCTTCTCAATTTCTTGGCCGATTGACATTAATTTCACTGTTTGAAATACCCAGGATGTCAACTCAGACACGTGAATCCACAAAAAGTAACGTTTTAAGTAATAAGAAATAATAACAACTGAAAAAGAAAATCCATTTAAAAATTACTCCTAGAAAATTATACAAGAAACTTTCTGATATCAAACAGCAAATAACTGCGTTATTAAACTACGCACTTATTGATCTATTCTAGTAAGGCTCTCCCTTTCTAAGCGGGCGAGTTAACTAACTTTTCTTTCAGGCCTATCTCCAGGTCTAGATGCTTAAAAGGTGACCCAGTTTTATAATGATTTACTAAGCGTAGCAGGCGGCTGCAAGTGTGGAGCACCCAGTAAGGATTGAACACATTTTTTTTTGAAAATCAGATTTACCCCCAAAAAGGCAATAAAGTCACTAAGACACAAGTTGTTACTTGGGGTAGGGGTGAAAGAATAAAAAAAAAAGCAAATTGTAAAAAAAAACAAAAAAAAAAAAACAGAAACATTACCAAGGAGAGAGAACAATAGAAGAGAATCCAGGAAGACAGTAGATAACGACTGGTATTGCATTTAAATTTTTGAAGATCAAATTTAACTGGAAAGCATGGAGCTGGAAGAGAGTTCCAAGTGCGAGAAAGGATACTATTAGCAAAGAACTTACTGTTACGTCTAGCAAATTCAACCCTAAAACAATGAGACTTTGTTGCCAATCTAGTTCTGCACTTAAATTCATAAAGTCTAGGTACCATAGCAAAGAACTCATCCGAACAATTTTTATGAAAGTATCCATAGAAAGGGCACAGGGTAGCCACTTTACAGCGGTGAAAAATGACTGAAGCCGAGATGCCAGGTTAGGACCAATAATATTTCTGATTCTTCTTTGCATTTTATCAAGAATCTCCAAATATATAGGAGGAACACCGAACCATGTGTGGCAGCAATCCTCTAAACATGGACGAATAGTAGATTTATAGATATATAAGATAGATTCTGGAGAGAAAAAAGTGTTTACTCAGTCGTAATTGATCTAGTGAGACAAGCTTATTAAACATTGCGCCACGTCGAAGCGACACTGACTCTGTTTTATGATTTTTTCCCCCCAGAAAAGGCGACGATTAACGAAATCTTAATTTCTTCGTTAATCGATTGGAGTTCTGCTCTAATAATAAGTGCTATGATGGACAATCATTTTAAATTGTCGCCGTGAAATAAAAAGGAAAGAATTTTCCTTTTCACAACATTTCGACCATTTTAAAGTAATAATCTAACCGAAGGGGGCTATGAAATGTATCGGGCCTATAGGTTGAGAAAAAATACCAACTCAAATGGTACAAGAAGAAAATAAAAAGAATGAGAGAAATTTGATATGCTTCTTATTGCTAATTTTAATCGATCTTATTCTATTTCCGTCTTAATTTTCCTTAAAACTTTCTCGTTGTCATTATGCCCCATCTATTTTATTCTCAGTATCCTTCTGTAGAATCACACCTATGTTGCATCGAATCTCATCGCTGAGGAAATTGTACGCCATTCACTGCCATATACGAGGATCGATATGATACAGCAGCCCAGCATTCTTTTCTTTGTTTAAAATTAAGTTTTCTTAATATTTTGTTCACATTTTAGAAAGCATCTTCTATTTCAACGCTACTTCGGATTTCGGAGTCACATTTTCCACCGTCTGCTCAAACTCTTGCCAGATAGTTAAACTTCTGTACTTGCTAGATTTCTTCTTTTTTTTTTGGCTGTCCCTCTTACCTACAACCATAGACTCTGTATTGCTACAAATGATGGTTAGTCCTTTTTTCTCTCTTTCCTTTACTACCTTTTCTAAATGTTTCTGCCATGAACACGGTGTCATCTGCGTGTCTTAAGTTGTAAAGATTATGTCCACCAATAATAAATACTGGTAGGTCACTTCCATCTAAGTACTAACCAGGCGCGACGTTGCTTAACTGCCATGAACACGGTGTCATCTGCGTGTCTTAAGTTGTAAAGATTATGTCCACCAATAATAAATACTGGTAGGTCACTTCCATCTAAGTACTAACCAGGCACGACGTTGCTTAACTGCCATGAACACGGTGTCATCTGCGTGTCTTAAGTTGTAAAGATTATGTCCACCAATAATAAATACTGGTAGGTCACTTCCATCTAAGTACTAACCAGGCACGACGTTGCTTAACTGCCATGAACACGGTGTCATCTGCGTGTCTTAAGTTGTAAAGATTATGTCCACCAATAATAAATACTGGTAGGTCACTTCCATCTAAGTACTAACCAGGCACGACGTTGCTTAACTGCCATGAACACGGTGTCATCTGCGTGTCTTAAGTTGTAAAGATTATGTCCACCAATAATAAATACTGGTAGGTCACTTCCATCTAAGTACTAACCAGGCACGACGTTGCTTAACTGCCATGAACACGGTGTCATCTGCGTGTCTTAAGTTGTAAAGATTATGTCCACCAATATTAAATACTGGTAGGTCACTTCCATCTAAGTACTAACCAGGCACGACGTTGCTTAACTGCCATGAACACGGTGTCATCTGCGTGTCTTAAGTTGTAAAGATTATGTCCACCAATAATAAATACTGGTAGGTCTTAGTAGTGGTTCTATTTCTCTTTAGTATTATTACTTTATATATTGGTGTAATTTAACTGTTATCTTTTTATTAGTACGTTAATTCGGTCTCGTTTTTCTTGCTTTTGTCGCAAACACTAGAATGAAACAACAATTAAATACGGTAAATTTACTAAAACAAATTATATGGAAAAATACTGCAGCTGATTGTTGCACTGATTTGAGATTTTGTTACAAGCTTTACTGTAAAACTAATAATAAAGAACAGTGTGTCAAAAGGACAATTATTCCATTGACACCGATATTACTGTATACACTTTTGACTCCCTCGGTAATGTTTATTTACAAGATTATAAATTTATGTGAACCAAGTACAATGCGGTATTTATTATTTATCTTTTATAAAGATTTATTATTTACCATTTTAAAAAGAAATAAATTTGAAAAGTAATCTTTTGTTTCAGAAACTTATTTAAAAAAACTACAAAATTATCAAAATATGTAAACCAACTAAAATATAATAATTATTATGAATAACCATGAAAACAAGCTTTCAGACATTCATTCATACAGTACCTGTTATTCACAAGCGGTACCCCATCTAGGTAGTAACCAGGCACGACGTTGCTTAACTTCGGCGATCGGACGAGAATCGTTTTTTCAACATGATATGGCCGTAAGACCCGGTAAAAAGTGATTCTGTAATTATACACAAGGAAAAATTTGGCCATTTAATGAATAGAGAGATACATACTCAAAATATTGAATGTTTGTACAGTGTAACCCGGATATAAGAGAGTTGTCGGGACCGGAGAAGAAGTCTCTTATATCCGGGTTTGGTCTATATATATATACATTAACACAGGCTCTAATTTGGGACCATAGAAAATCTCTCTTAATTCCGGGTTACACTGTAGTATCGCCTAAAATCTAAAAATAAAATAATTTTTAGTGGATTTATATGGAAAGAGGAAAATGAGAGATGCATTGAAATGCATTTCTTTCAAAGTTTTAATTGCAGTTACTCGTCCTTATGTGTTTATTTAGATTTTATTGTTGACAGACATTTTTATAAACTTATGAATAAAAAAAATTATTTTCGTATTTATTTCTTTATAAAATGTTAAATGATAAATATTTCAAATTTATTTTTTTTTATAAAATAATAAATATTTAATTATAGTTGCTTCACATATTTTTATAATTTTGTAAATATAAAATTATTTGGATAAATAAGCACTCTAATAAATAAACAAATAATATTTAACATCTTTGTTGTCATTTCTCAAGAATAAAGAAAATGTATCTGCTTTCATATGTTTGGGTTTTATTAAGATTTCTTATCATCACTTTTTAAAACCATAAACATTGCCAAGGGAGTTTAGAGTGTACACATTAATAGACGTCACCATGGATTCTAGCTGTGGATTCCTAAATCGTTAGTCAAATAGTTCAAAATGATATTATAATGTCTACTAAGAAAATATATCAATACAACTGAACAGAACTAAATGTGATCGAAACGAAATATCCTTCGACATGGAAAGCGGGTAAATGACCTAGTGTGTTAGAACATCAGTTCATGAATTAGGTGAAGAGTTCAATCCTTAGACAAGGTAGTGTATATTTAGACTCAGTGGAAACAGAGAGACCAACATCTGTGCAATTCGACCACGATGAGACATTACTGGGCATAGACAACGGAACGAGAACAATCTATCTCTGTATATTAAATAAAGGGTTCACTTCGAAATTAACTGAGCCTTACCCAGATCGACAAGCACCTGAAGAAGGCCGGGGCATAAAGCAGTCGAAACGTTGTGAAAATACAAAGAAGATGATGACATTAGTCCGAATGTATGTGGCGATAACTCCTCGTCCTAGAAATTCTGATATAAATCTACTAATATCTACATAAATCTACTAATATCTAATATAACATTAAGTTTATAATACTCAGAAGTTCATATCCAGGACACATGGCACAGTGGATAAAGGCGTTGGTTAGATCCAGTGACAGACCCAAAGAAGGTGAGTTCAATACCTGGTTAAGGCAGTGGAGAACTTTCAGAGGGAAAATTAGTAGGAGATAACTGATAACTGACATCAATCAAACATGGCACGTGGAACTAGAACAGTCTACCCCAGTGATCGAAATAAAGGTTTCAGTTCGAAATTCCAACCACCTGAAGAAGGCCGGAGCGTACAACGGCCGAAACCTTGTGACAAATATGGCGACAAAGATGAGAACAATAGTCCAACCAATGTAAAAAATAGACAGAAATATAGACAGACTCTAATATTTTTTTTAAATATTCCATAATGTTTCTTCAGTTGCTATCTCTGAGCTTCGAAAAAAAATAAAATTGGTAAATATTTTTACATTGTAAGATTTTTTTACGTAATAATGATATAATTTTTACTAATTAATCCATACCGAGGGGAGAAGAGATAGATTCACATGAGTATTTGCACGTTATTCGATATAACGAACCCAGCGGGAATTAGAACTCGACTCTTCGATTAACAATTCCAAGGCCATCACATCCATGCATACAGCACATGTTATTCGGTAACCCATCTTGGCTCGATGTTTTTCTCAATGTGATCTGGCAGCAAGCACATACATACATAATAATGATATTCGAGGATACCTGTCTATTAGGCTAGCCAATCCATATTGCAGACCCACAGAGCCCATCTGTGGTTTATACTGCAACTGTGCTAAGCAGACCTTAGTTACATAGAGCGTGTTATCTAGCGTGGTCAAAAATTTGAACGCTCAAGCACTCTCGGCCACGATGACTTCGTGCTAGTATACCCAATTTCAGGCACTTTTCAAGGTTAAGGTGGGCGTTAGAATAATCCTTCCTGACAAATCGACGATGAGATTCGGTCTAACCACCCACCCACGTATTCATACAAGCACATATATACATCCATACGCACAGGGTTAAGGTTAGGATAATCCTTCCTGACCATGGTGAGAAAAGTGGACGTTCTAACCACTCCCCCACGCACACAAACACATGCATATATACGCACAAGGTTAAGGTAATCCTTCCTGTCAAATCGACCATGATGAGATTCAAACCAGGGTCTAACCACTCCCCCATGCCTACAAACACATACATCCATACGCACAGGGTTAGGGTTAGGATAATCCTTTCCTGACAAATCGACCATGATGAGATTCGAACCCGGGCCACATGGTCAGAAACATTCTAACCACTCCCCCATTTTTACATACATACATACGCACAGGGTTGTGTCCTGCTTATTCGAAGAAATTAAAGCTCTTCACCAAAATTCATCACAAGATTAATTCCGTCATTTTCCCTAGAAAAGTTGTAAGGTAAGCTAACCCTTTGGCTAACTGTTTCATCTAAATAGAACCCATGGGGTTCGGCTTGTCAATAAAGAAAATCTAAAGCACCACTAGATGTTCAAAATCCGACCCAGTCAAGGATACGCGATCCGGGTCTCAGACCCTGTGAACGAACCAATGTCTTTACCAGATTAGCCAGGACACCCAACCTTCACAAATTAGACAAATAAGCGCTCTGCGCTTGTTAGTACGATTTACAGTGGATGGGGTGGGGGGTGGTTTTGTTTGCGTACGTGAGTATCTTAGTTTGCTTTCTTGCACCTTCGATCCCTAACCCTGCCCTCCCCCCATCTGTCAATTAACTTCCACCCTCAACTCTTGTCTGTCTGTCTGTCTGTCTCTCTGTCAGTCAGCCCGTCTTTTACGATTGTCTAACAAATCAACGTAATTGCTGTCATTCGGTAAGCCTACAGGAACGCCGACCGATCAGGGGTCTTTTTATCACGAGCTGTTGTTTTAGGCCAACTTTACGAGACTTTTCTGTTTTGCCAGTCAATTGTTCTGTTTTTAGGTCTTTGGACTGTCATGGTTTCTGTTTGAGTCTTTCAAAACCCATGCGCGCGTATATGTGTGTGTGTGTGTGTGTGTGTGTGTGTGTGTGTGTGTGTGTGTGTGCGCGCGCGCGCGTTTTTTTGATGGAGGGCGAGTGGGGTAGGGGTATGACACTTTTTTTTCTAATAATCAATATTATATAAATTTTCAACCAGTAATATCTGGAAATTTTTTCGCGTTCAAGTGACAACAAGTTCCATCAATGTGTTATCACTCTTTAGTATTATGCTAACATACGTCCTTTTTGCATGTTTTTTTTTTTCCAATTTTGAAATGATTAAACTGATTTCCTACGGACAGAAGGTAGCGAAGAAGGGCCAGAAGAAAGGACTAAGTATAAACCAGAAAAAGACAGAATGCATAGTTATAAGAAACAAAAGTTGAACCCAAAATGCAAATTAAATGTCAGGGATGCTAAAATCAAACAGGTACAGAAATTTAAATACCTTAGAAATGTTCTAACAGAAAACGGAAAGTGCGACACTGAGATCCGAAGATATATTGGGATGGCCAAAGATGCATTCCTAAAGCTAAGCAGAGTATGAAGAGACTGGAAAATTTCGTTGGAAACAAAGAAAAGAGTACTGAACTGTTATGTGATATTTGACCTCCTGTATGGCAGCGAATGCTGGACAATCCCCTCAAAGATGAAGAAGAGATTTGAAGCAACAGAAATGTGGTTCTACAGAAGGAGACTAAGGCTACCATGGGCCGAACATATAAAGAGTAAAGATGAGATTTTAAAGAGAATGGAAACAAAGAGGAAACTTATACTTAACATCAGGAAGAAGCAGTTGAAATTGCTGGGACACGTAATGAGAAAGGAGGGCTTGGAAAATCTGATACTCACAGGACATATAGAAAGAAAGAGGGACAATTGAAAACCAACGCGTGACGGAGATAAGGAGCTTGAGAAAATGGATAGCAGTAGAGTATGTGGAAGAAATAACGAAAAGACAAACTTATTAAGAGCTACAAGGAACAGTGGAGGATGTGGAGGGCCATGATTGCCTACATCCGGAAGTGACCCGGCACATAAAAGGAAACTGACCTAAGAATGCCAAATACTATATTCTGATACAAAAACCTTTTTTTCTGATTTAGATAACTTTTTTAAAAACTAATATTCATCTAATACAAGGCCCCAGAGCCATTCCAGGTAGAGGGTTATTGGACAAGGTTGATATGAACGTTAGGAAGTAAAAAGTGACAATTATGCTGTTACAGCGGATAGATAACGATTGATTCTAGACATGAAGAGATTAAAATTGTTGTGATCCGGAAGGCATCCATTCTGGAAGACACCTAAAAAGCAGTCTGAGTGATGATTGCATCTGACAAAGGAAATACGGAGACAATGAGGATGGTTCAATCCTGTGGATGTGGCACGGATGGTCTTACTCTCAAACGAATTGATCTGGTGAAACTAAAGAACCTCACTTTTCTTCTACTGGCCGTGGGAATAGCGATAGTGTAGTAATAAACTTGAGACTTTGCGTCTGCGGGGAAACAGGCCGCAGGGTGGGAAATAATTCATCACAAGGCAGCGTAGACTGCTATAAAGGGTGTTTTTTTTTTCGTTGTTGCTGTTTGTGCCGTTGCTAGGACGTCTGATATGGTGTGATCTTTACTAAAATAATCACACCGACTAATTCGCTTATATGGTAAACTAAAGTCTCAAGAGAGCTCCACTATTGTGCACTTGTGCCAAACTAAGTTACGCTTAGCAAATAATTATTA